GTGGGGGTGCTGTGGGGGTGCGGGAGGGGGCTGTCAGCCCGTTGTCAGCGTGCGGGGGTGCTCAGGGATGGAGGGAGGTGCCGGCAGCCCGCAGGGTGCGCGGGGTGGCCGGTAGCCCCCGTGGGTGCGCGGGGTCCCGGGGGTGCTGGCAGCTCGCGTGGGTGTTCAGAGGTGCAGGAGCGAGCTGGCAGCCTGCGTGGATGCGGAGGGGAGCTTGGGTTCGGTGACGGGAGTCAGGGGTCTAGGGAGTCGCTGGTAGCCCTTGTACGTGGCTGGGTGTGTAGGGGGGTACTCAAAGCGTAGGGGGTGCTGGCAGCTTGCGTGGGTCCCCAGAGGTCCCTGGGGGTGCTGGCATCAGGTATGGGTGCTCAGGGGTGCAGAAGCATGCTGGCAGCCCGAATGGGTGCTCAGGGGAGCTTGGGGGTGCTGGTAGCCCATATACGTGGCCATGTGTATGTGGATACTTGGAGCCTGAGTGGGTGCTGGCAGCTTGCAGGGGTGCCCAGAGGTCCCTGGGGGTCCTGGCAGCCTGCAGCGGTGCCTCAGGGTGCCCAGAGCCCCCATGAGTATATGGGTCTGCCTAGACCCTGCATGAGTACCCAGGGGTATGTGCTGGTGGTGCCCTACAGGGGTGCTGGCAGTCCGTGGGGTTCCCCTTGGAGTGTCTAGGGGTGCCATGCAGCATGTAGGGGCACAGCCCCCTGCAGTGTGCACCAAGGTGTGAGGTAAGGGTACGGGGTGCTGTGTGGCATTGCGGGGAGAGTGAGCTGGAGGGCGCATGGAGCCCCGCGCTCTGCGGGGTGTGGCCGTGCTCCTGTGTGTGGGAGCTGTGGGGACTGGTGGGGGGTTTGTGCCAAGCAGCCTCCCTGTGGGGAGAAGTCGGGCTGGGGGGACCAGGCCGTGCTGCAAAGTGCTGGAAAGGTGAGTCTGGGGGTGAATCTGGGGCTGCGGGAGCACTGGGTAACACAGGGATGAGAGGACCGATGCTGTGGGGACACAGCTGGTGTGGCCATCGTGTCTGGGAGGTGTTGTGCTGGTGTGGGCATAGCGGCCTGGGGAAGGGGCTTGGCCTCAGCCTCCCTGTAGGCAGGGGAGAGGGGCAAGGTGGGAGAGGGATCTGGCAGCGCCAGCTCTTCCTTGCGTCACACTGAGATGGGCTACAAGTAGCACTTTGGAAATAAAGGATTCAACACACTTGATGGGAAGTGACAGTGAGTTTTGCTGTGCAGCTTACTTTTCTGGAAGATTTCATGTTGCCTGTTCTGCACGCAGCTCCTGCTCAGCTGGGGAGAGCTGTCAGGGTCAGCAGCAAGTTGCATCTTGCTTCTGGCGTGGGGTTGTCACTTGAAGGGACAAATAGCTGTTACATCCCTCCCTACCCCCCCCCAGCTTTCCGAAGCACTTTGCTTGCCATGATGAAATTGCTTGTATGTGTAGGGAGGGGAAAAAAAAATGCGCATGAAAGCGGCCAAGGAGTTGGGTTTAAAGTGGAAACCGAATGTGGCTGTTCCTGTCTTTGCTCTTTGTAATGACGAGGAAATGATGTACTGGGGTTTTGGTTCAGTTTGAAATATTAATTGTGTGGATGAGACAAGTTTTGCAGCTTCTTCTTATTGACTGCGGGGGAGCCAAGTGCTTGCTCCCTGCTGCTATGCAACCTTTAATCCAGACACAAAGAAGGCAAGTCATGATGAGCACATTTCCCTGGCTCTTCAAAGCAAAAAGCAGCTGGTCCTGCTTGGGGGGGGGGGGGGAGAAATTGG